TCAGCAAGAGAAAAAAAAGACTAGTGTTGATATCAGAGTCTAACAGTAGTTTTATTTCTGCCTGTTGAGCTGGCCGATTGCAGCTGAAGAGAAGCACTTGAATGCAGCATTATGACAGTCTGTTTGCATGTGGTTGCCCTCACACTCCTCTCTGCCTCCCTCCCACTTCCCACTATAAAATCCCTGCCTTCTGTCTTCATTAATGGCTAATTAAAAGACACCTATAAAACCAGTGAGACTATGTGGTCCCTAAAGGAAGAAGACAGTTACTCATTGTTTATGGGAGGATGTGGGGTAGGTGGTGTTACAGAGGTGGAAAAATTACCTATTCAGGACTAAAATTACTGGTATAAATTAACAAAAGAAGACTTAAAATGCATTCGGAGCAAATCAATATACACCTTAGTCAAGCAAATGTAGTTTAGTATTATTCAATTATATCTATATATAAGCCTTGTTTTACAAGATCAGGGGCGCCGCTAGCAGTTTTGGGCCCTATGAAAAAATTTGAAGTTGGGGCCTCTACCCACAGACTGTGGGCCCCCAAAGTTCGTGGGCCCTTAGAAACGTCCTAACTTCCCCCCCCCAACGGCGCCCGTGTACAAGATACATGATTTAGGAAACAAAATGCTGATCAAAGTCCCTTTTTATCTGCTTTGAATAAATAATGCTGGCATCACTGAGAGTAATCAAACTTTTCTGAACTCAAAGCACCTCGTATGGTAACTGAAGTTTTGATTTATGAAGCACCTCACACTTCTAATAAAACCAGTGCAGGAGTAGTACTCTTCCATTTGTCTCAGTGATAGGAATCAAAAGCAAGAGAGAAGTAAAGTAGGATCCCTGATCAGTTGCTGCAGTCTTAGCACAGCACAAAACACTGTGCATGGTTCTTAAGTTTTGCATGGCTCGGAATACAGAGTTTTAATCTCAGAGCGACTGCCTGAAGGTTAAATGAAGATATAAAAAAAAAACACTGCACCATTTAAGCAATGGTATTTACACATCCTTCAGGTATTGTGTGTACTAGCCACAGGGCAACGTGCTCCTGTGTGGAGAGCTGTAGCACTTTGGGCTGTGGAGATGCAGTGGTTCACACTGATCCTGGGCTCAGATCAGACTCGGTGGAGGAGAGGTAGATTCTTCCACCTCCACAGAGCCTGCAAGGCATCCCGGCCTTACCCATCACCACGTAGGCCTTCTGCTTTACTGAGAGTACTGGGGGTGAGGAGGACATGGAGGACAGAGGCACGGCCACACAGCTGCTATAGAGAGCATAAGGTTTGTGTTTTTAAGCAAATGTAGCCAAAATATAGCCACAACAAACAATATCATATAATTGAATCATGCTACAAAGAAGTATTTTTATTCTTGTCAGCACTTTACATCACTGAAGAGTAACTCTCTATAAACAGCACAATAGCAACATGCTGTCTAGTGTGTTAGAAGTCTGTACAGAAACTATAGACACATTCCATTTCAGGTTTTACTGGGTCTCCCCCTGAAGTGCTAACATTAGCCATGCTTAGCCTCGTAGTCATCCCAGCTGGTAGCACCATCTTTACTGACACTCATATTTGTTTTCTAAAACCAAACAACTTCCTAATATCATCACATCGAAACTCCAGCAAAATTATTCAAAGTTTAGCTTCATGTCAGATTAACAGGTCACAGAAACTGGATACAAAATGATATAACCGTGGTCATCACAGCATCAAAATCAATGCATCGATTTCTTTTTAATTTCTTTTATACAACACAGTATTTACAATGTTTTGAGAGTTGTTTAGTTTTTATGAATAAAATGTGTTGTATAAAATTTTAATTGTGTTTTCTACAATCATGACAGTGAAGACAGTGGGTCTTATGCTGACGGTTTTATTGTGTATGTTTATGTCTACAAGCAAATCAATTTCCCTCTGAGGTACAGTGGGTATGGAAAGTATTCAGACCCCCTTAAATTTTTCACTCTTTGTTAGAACCAGGGAACTGTGACAGAAGCAAGCAAGGTGCAAAAGTGTGAAGATTGGCATGAAAAGTGTGTATCATATTGGAGTAGAAGTTTTCATTAGCTTTA